TGACAGTATCGCAGCCCTCGTGCTTCCTTCGGGTGGCATGGCACCCAGGCACCGAAAATATTGCAACTGACAAGGCAACTGGAGCGGATGGTCTACACCCAGCACTTTTCAAAGGTGGCGAGGTCCTGGTGACGACAACCATACTTAAGAAGGTTTGGAACGAAAACAAAATACCAGTGAATCGGACCCCTGGACCTTCATTCCAGTCTTCGAAAAACGCGCAAGAACGTCCTGCGAAAATCAGCGTGACATCAGCCTTATAACCGTCGCACCTAAGATATCTGGAATCATTTTGCACAAACTGGTCGATTATCAGGAGAGAATTAAGCTGGGTTTTGCCGTGGCGTAGGATGCGTTGACAATACCTTTGCCTTGAGACAGGTTATTGAACGTCGCCACTCCTTCATGAGTCCCACGTTGGTTGTTTTTCTTGATCTGGAAGGTGCCTTTAACTCCGTCAATTGTCGGAAACTTTGACAGTGTCTGACGATCACAAGGGTCCCTTCCAAATTTGTATCCCTTATGAGGGCTCTGTGTGCGAATCACTGTTGGCGCGTACGAGTATACGGGAACCTTTCGCGTGAGTTAACCAGGTCCAGTGATGCAAGACAAGATTGCCCTCTCACCTTTCCCCTTCGGCTTTATTGTTAATATGCTGCTTGCAATTCATCTGCCTGCCTCTGAAACGTCGTGGATGAAACGCTCCCGGGACGTTCGCTCATAGACAGTGAGTATGCGGAAGGTATCGTTCTCTTTGTTTCAGATCCCTCAATAAACGTACCATTTTAACTAATCTAAATAGCTCCCCCACATGTTTGGGCATGCGCTTCAAAGTGTTGAGTGCTGCTACAAGACTAGGTGGAACCAAACCCGAAATTCATGGTTGCAAATGATGTGAGCAGTTGTATAAGTCCTGGTGGACTGACTGGAGATAAGATTGCTCCTCAAATTAAGAAGGTCGGAGCAGCCGCTACCAACCTCCGACACTTATAGCGCAGACGTGAAGTCGGTTTATCTGTCAGGGACACAGCTTACCATGCGGCAGCGTGATCCATATTGCTTTATGGACCGAAGACGTGACCTCGTAGTGGATATCGGTATAGATATCGGTGTTTGATAATCGGTGTCTCCGCGGCACTGGTCGAGTATGGTCGGAACATCGGATTAGTAATACTGAAGTACCCCAGATAGTCATAGGAAGGTGATTTACCCACGCTTCATAGGTTACGCTGGTTAGGACATGTACTTTGTATGCTAGAATACCGTCTGACTCACAGAACTCCTTTCTTCCATCTCTGTGCTTAATACAAACGACTGACAGATTGGTCAGTATGATGTAGCAACACTAACCAGTAAACTTAGTCGGGTTGACAACTCCGCCTCTCTGGATGGGGACCTAGGGACTCAAACCGCCGATGGTTGATGACACTGGCAGAAATGCTTGAATCGTGAAATCAGTGGCGCTCGTGCATCAAAGCTATGGTCTTAACTGTGCATCTACGTAGTTCCCGAAAGAGGTGAACGCGCCACCGCCTCCAGGGCTTGGCTGAATGTCCAACGCCCTCCCGTAGCAGATGGAACTAATGTGCTCATGATACACGGTTTATAGGTGGCAAATTGAATTTTTTTAATTTGCTAATTTCTGTCAGGTTGCTCCCTGTTAGCGTTCCTGGAGTGGTCTAAAATTGATCTAAAATTGGTCTAAAATTGAATAACTGGGTTCCAGCTAGTAAAGCCCGCTTGGCCACTGCAGCACTGAAAACCGATCGTCACGGCAAGGTGATAGCCTCATGTCATCGTTTCTTGTCAGTTAAGCATTAACAGTTGTTACTAATATGTTACTTTTGGTAGTGATGATGATGATAATGATAAAAGCCCGGACGGAAAGTAGATGAGTGTCGCGAAACACTGTGCGACTCACCCCCCGTCTCTTATCTTGTCAATTGATGTGTTCTAGAAATTTCCATACCTGCTTTTGAAAACTTAATGCTCGAAGTGCTGTCTGGGTACTTGGTCACACACTGAGTACTGCTTGTTTCAGACGCAAACTATTTAAAAAAACATCCGCTTTATTATGCGCATCACATTTGTAGGGTGTGAAACGGTGGTGTAAGATGATGGCGTCAGACCCACCATAACTTAAGCTTGCAGATCAGCCAGTTGATGTGGCAGATTTATCCTTCTGGGCAGCCTTATAAGTTCCGGTAACTGGCCGGAGACGACCACTTCTTGAATGGGGGAGACCTAGACACCTTTTGTCAGCTTTCGGTATCCATGCCGCCGGCATGAAGTCAGTTTGTCGAAGGCAGAATGTATACTGTGATGGTGCACTCCATACTTTTCGTGGATCAAAAACGTGGCCCGTACGCACAGACGATGCATGGAAAAGTTCGTTGTTTTACCATAAATGTCTCAGGTATAAGCAGGGTCTGGTGGAGACAGTGGACTAGTAATGCTGAGATACACCAGAGAGCTTCAGAAAAAAAAACTACGCGATGGGCAGCCCAACCACACTGCATAAGTCAAGACATGTGCGTTGCATGTCAGGAAGCCATCGACCTTGCAGAGTTGATTGGAATTAGTCCTGCACTGATTTGAAACAATCGAGAGACGGACAGCTTAGGTCAACAATGACCATAACAGCCATAACCCAAATGCCTCTTTTATGGATGGGGATCCAATGCCTCAGCACATCAGTTCTTAATGACACCACTGGACATGCCTGAATTGCGCGGTCAGTAAGCCTGCGCATAAAGGCTACCACTTTCACCTCACAACTGCGCAGTTTCCCGTTTCATCAGACAAGTGGAATGTTTCAGCACCAACTAAAAGGTTATACCATTGCCTCCAGTATGTGACTCATCATCGTCATCGGCAGCACAACATCAGTGTTCAACAGACTCTTCACTGCCGTATATCCATAATTTATTGAAAATCCTTATGGCGAGGGAAAGAATGAAAGTGAATAGGGAAGGGACTTGGTGCTAGTTTATCACAATCGTTCCAAGCTGTGTACATCTCCAGACATTCATTCAGACAATCTGGATGGAAACTGACAATAAGAATGCCGTTAACATCTATTGGCAGCCATATGTTCCAGCGTCTCCAACGATTTACAGGGGTTTACTCGCAAGGTGGGTCGTACCAACAGTATCCAGCGTTTTGGCAACAGATTTCACTTCCCTCTGCCAGGTCAAAGGTCGACAACGCCCCTACTTGAGCCTCTCATGGAGCGCGACACTTCGGCAAACGGTGATTTGGCATGTGCAATACACAGCCAAACCACAACAGCTTTTGCCGTGCTATGCAAGCGAGAACTTGTTTTATATCTGTAAGGTTGCAGAGTCGCCAGCACCAGCGTGCAACACAGCTTTTGCCGTTGAAGTCCGTGCTGTGCAAGCGAGAACTTGTTTTATATCTGTATGGTTGCAGAGTCGCCAGCACCAGCGTGCAATGGTTATTGAAGACCTGAAAATGTCCCACTTCGATCACTCACAGAGGCTACGTCTCCGCGATACGAAAAAAACAAACAGTGTAGCCTGATGCACACGTCCCTTGAGATTTAGAGATATGCCGATTTGCCGCCATGAGTGTCCCGAAACCTCACCTGAACCTCGGAGAATCATGCACTAAACTCATTTATCACACTATTATCAGAACCAATGCAGCTTGCAAGATAAGTAAGCGCTCCACAATATCGAGTACTCTTTCGTAGACCGTACTGTCCACCGGAAGTGGGTGCACTTGTATCTTTAATTCTTGTTTCTGATACGCAGCACACATCAATGTGAAACGCCTTCAGTGTGGTAGTAAGAACGGCTTCTTGTCCTGCATGCATGCGAACATTTAATGTAACCCGGTGGACCGAGCTTTGACGTTCGGAGATGCTTGGGGCTTCCGGCACCGACTGCCGAGATGACTTGACCAGTGACACCACCTGACAGCCGAGCTGGCATGACAGTATTGTTAGTTATAGGAATCATGGCTCTGCGTTGGCCGGGATACTGCCACGCGGCCCAGACCTAGACAGGAGGGTGATTGGTGAATTCGACCAAATCCTTTGGCCCAAAAACGTAACCGCAAAGGAGTGGAGTTCGACAGGAAATGCCATTACATTCATTTCTAATGAACAAGCTGCCGCACCTGTTCCAACCCTCAACCTCGAGAACAAGGAAACTGTTTGTCAGACCTGTAACCATTGACCATCGTGACATGACAAATCTCTCACGCAAAGCCCCCAGTATGACCCCATGGGTTGCGGAGGCAGACAAACCGTCACCCACAATAATTTCCAGTCTCTTCGTGACGGAATGTCTGACTTTCCATGTGAGCTCAGTTTTCGATGGCCACTAGTATGCTCTAACCAGCGTACCCTGTGCTTTATGTGTGTGCTTTGTGCGTCATGAGGTTAAGGGCTACTAAATGAGAATCATTAGTTAGCGAAATACACTCATTTACAAACTAATTTGGTTTTTGCGAGTGACTCACCTGGAACCTAGCTGAATCTCTCGTTTGTGATGTTTCCAGTACCATTAGTTCCTGCGGCTGCCTGGTCGTCACGACGGTGCTAGGTACGACTGTGACCATCGCTGTACGGATCTAGCTGAATGAGTGCTACGACTAGCTAGCCATGTATGCAACACGGATGTTTCCTGAGCGAATTGGGCTGCCGGACATCCTGCATGCACAGCTGGTTAGCCGTACCAATTTAAGTCGCTAGTTGGGCTTGCGGGTGACTTTTGGAACTGCCCATTCCTTTCGTCCTCCGGTTTGTTTCCCTCGGATTTACGCAGAGTACAGGGCGTCCGGGTGGATGCACATGCAAACCCCATGGGCCATTACCCAGTATGGAGTGATGCCTACCGGAGTGGTTCAGTGTGTCATGCCAATCCTGAAACAGATGGCAGCGCACCGTATATGCAATGTGTTTATTCCGATGTACGTTTGTTTTTTGATGTCCCAATGACCATGGATAGTAGACAGTCTAGGTGACCATCATACATGTCGTACTTCAATTTGCTTGAGTCAGACTGCTTGGTAATGATTTTCTCTTTTTAGCTGGCTGCTGTTGGAAGATTATGAATGTGGTTCCATCAGGCACGGCACCTCCAGTTCCAGGTGTCGCTCCTCTGCAAGGTGGCGTTGGTTCATCTTTGTGGATAAACAAACTGAAGATAGTTGGTAGTGGGCACAACTGGGCGGTTGCACCATGCGAACCTTTTTATCTGATGGGCACGGAGCCTCCCGCCACTGACGCTGAGCTCACCGGTGCCAAAAATCTGATTGAACATTATGGACTGGGGAACGCCTATCAGAAGTTTTGTAGCAAATCTCTGCGTGAGGAGTTAAGTGCATTTTTGCCGCATCTTTCTGGGAACGTGGATGTTCCGGCAACCGTTGATGGCAGTGGACTGATGGTGAGTGACCGTTTTTTACCTTTGCAGTTTTTCATGCATTACTGCGACGCATTTATCAGTTGTATTTGAGTTAGCTTAGCCACCGGTTCTCATCCGTTTAAACCGAGACGAGACATCTCTAGGTTTATTTGGTTCTCCCCAATACCAAGCTTGCCGACTTTCTCTGGATCAAGCCAAACCTATAAGCTTATGTCATCTCAAATTGGATTGAAACTTCAGCCGCGGGTTGCTTTAACATGCAATACTTGAGCTGCATTTACTTGTAGCTCATAAGGTGAATGTTCTGCAGCGGCCGCAAAAGAAGGATGTCCTCAATGTTCATTTGAGGAGCGGAGTTCACACTGTTTCACAAGCGGCTATGGTGGGTACATCTGGCAGTCTGAATCGAACGGTGCAACTGATTGCAGGAGCTCTACTTGTTAGAATCAATACTCTGTCAATATTGAAGGGTTCAGGTTCAATAAAAGCTTCGTCAGTCACATTTGCTGTTGGTAGACCCATACAGATCTGTGACTGTAAGAGGAACGGTAATTTACTCGGAAAATCCCTGTCAAACCCACCGGCAGAAACTGGTGACAAAACAAATTACACATTCTTCGTGACATTTTGTTGTCAAGTTTTATTCGGAGGACACCGCTGTTCAGCACAGAATGCTCATCTAATCGCTGTTATGTTTGGAGAAGACCACCGTAAGTTGGAGTCATGAATTGAGGTAATTAATTGCTGGTCCAAGTACCGGGACACAATTTTCATCCTTGTTTGTGAGCGGTAGAGTCCCCGTTAACCCACGGACTTTTGTTTTTGCTTCCATGGGCAGCGTTTTTGCTTTACCCGAGGACGTTTCTTTTGAACTGCAAATTCTGCCCTCCAACACTCGGATAGACACTTCTAACGGCTTTTCTTGGCCCTTGTTTCAAAACATTTTCAATATAACTTCCATTCTATCTCCAGACCAGTCGTTAGTTGGAACGGACGCTTAGAGTACTTTATTGCAGCTGCCACAATATGATATATATATGCATATGTATATGTACATGTATAAATGCTTCCTCGGCTGCGTTTATTTCCCAGACACCTGCTCAAAATTAGTATTTGCTCTTGCCAGTTACCTGAGTACTCTTTCTGTTCAATTTTCCAACATCTAGAGCCTAATAGAACGACCACCTATTCGTGGAAAGGAGCTGCGACTATTTGCTCCAGGGCAACTAGATCATGCCTTCCGCCTACATCCCGGACCTTTGCCTCAAGAATATGCTGCATTGTTCGCTGCTGCGCCACCCAATCCCAGTTCCAAACATACACATCGTTCCACGCAACCTGGCGCAACAGAAGCACCCGGTACGAATAGTCTTTCCTCTCCAAGAACACCGGTTACTGCTGGTGTCCCTCCTTTCAGTGGTTTATCTCGTCGTCGGCGACGCACGGAAGTTCATCGAGGCCAGCTCGGTAGTGTCAGTAACAGTGGTAGCTTGTCTTCTGGTGTTCCTGGAGTTCCACAGAGTGGTTCGTTTTTCCCTAATTCTGGAAATATTAGCACATCCAGCACTGCAACGCCCCTTTCAACAACCTCCATTCAACCGCATGGAGTTCAGTCAGTCACTAGTGCATTTCCGTCGTCCAATCCACCTTCAGCGGAACCTATCTCAATCAAGTCTGTCGAACTCCCACCCGGTTTGATTCCGGTTAGCAATCAGTACTGTCCTCCGAATCCCCCAACCGAGGCACATAAACCTCCACCTCCACCACCTCCACTGCTAGCACCAGTACATCATTCTCCGAGTAATGCGCTCCAGCGATCGGGGTTTGGAAGCAGTTCAGTGCCAGATTTCTCTGCTTCTGGTTCATCGGTTATCCCTGCTCCTCCGGTGCTCCATTCTATCCACCCGACCACCACGGCGGCGTTCAATTCAATCACTCCAACGTTTCAGCATTCTACCCATTCTTCTTTTCCCATGCACTCACAAGCCTCTCCTGGTTCTTCGCCGCCATCCCCTGACTTGCATAGACCACGTCGCCCAGACAGCATTGCAGATGAGGAACGTCGTAAAAAGAGGCGCAAGGAGAAAAAACGGCGAAAGGATCGTGAGTAATTAACCACACAGACGTGCATTTTTGCCGTGGAAACACACCGTTGCTACCTTCTCAGGTTTCATACAATCCGGTGCACAATGTAAACAAATGCGACTGTTCCCTCGCCGGCTAATGGTTTCCTACTTCTCTTTAAAGAAGAATTTGTCCATCCTCCTTGTACAATCACCTCAGCAAGACCATTATTATGCCATGTTTATTTACTTCATTTTCACCGCGTTCTGACTGATGGGTTCGCGATTTGCGCTAATATCAGCATGAGCCGTGAGGTTAAGAAAACGAGTTGCACAACTGGAGACTGCTTTGTGCAGGCTACCAGCTGGGGTTGCGGTTGCCAGATGTGACACACGTTGTTGTTCAGTAAGCATTCTTATTTATGACCAGCATCTGTACTGAACCATGTAAACCAGAGCTGTATGCCTCTGCACTTTGCTTGAAACTGCGAACATCAAGCATGTCAACCGATCGCTTGAAGACATACAGGATGATGTTGTTGACCTGATGGCATCTTTGTTTTTTTCCCCACTCCAATCAAACAGATGCTTGGGAATCGCTGGCGTTTGGATCTAGATGTGGTTAGGGATTCGTTGTTGTTCCTATGAATGAAGTTGAGCCAGATATGGCTCAGCGGTTAGGGTGCAGATTTACCGACCGGAAGGTCAATGGTTCGAACCCAACATCTGCATCTCGACTGCTCCGGTCTGGGCTACCTGACAGTATCTCAGCCCTTGTGTTTTTTTGGGATGACATGGCAGCCAGGTACCTGAACGATTATTTTACGGTTATGAATGAGGCTCCCAGTGGTTTGGCTGTTGATAGACCATCCCCGCGGCTTTGTGAAACGTAAGATTTTCATAGCCATCTAGCCTGCATCTATCACTTTCATAAAGGGTGTTGATAGCTATATGCTGAGTGAATGTACTGAGAGCCTGTTCCAGTTGTTGGATTAGTGGGTAACGGCTTGCGATTAGTGTGATTCATGTCCTGGCGTCATAGGCAGCCATGGAAAGCACTACTTTTGCGTTGCTTGAGGACATGTAACTCGTGAGAACCGAAGCGTTAGGATCAAATTGTCATGCCCTTACTGAAACTGTTCGGTAAAGCCAATGTGAGTTCTGGCTCTGATCGCTAACACCTGTACCATATCACTGGCTTTTACATTAGTCGTCAGTAGTTTATGAGTTTAAGGAGTTTCATCTGGTCAGCCTGGGCCGCGTTGCGCATGTTTCAAGTTCAGATAGATTGGTCGTCCCCTTTTGGTAACACCCATGTGGGGAAAGTAACCCTCACCTAAACATCACAATTTACGGCTTAGTATTCCGGACATCTAGGCCGCAATCGTGTACACACGGCCAACTGCGGTGAAACTGATTATGACCCATGACTGTTGCTCACGTGTAATGAGGTCACCTTCACGAGAAAATATCTACACGAGGGCAGGTGTGTCATGTAAGAAAATGCCAAGATTAGGGAGAGGGGGTGAGCGATTCCGCATACGGGGGCGATGTTCTCATCGAACATGAATCCTCAGTGTGTGATTTGGTGTTGTTGCACCCAATGTGCTGAAATTTCCCCCTATGCAATACTTGAGGCGATGGTCTGCTCAGAAATTTGGCAAGCTCAGGCCCATTTGAACACCGGGTGTAAAGCACTTTGAAACAAGCGTTGATAGGGAGAATCCTTGTTGGACAGTGATGTGAAATGCACCCCAAATGATTCCAGAAATTAACGCGTTCATTGGGAGGCAGGTTACTGCACGTGAGGGCTTCACATGGTTACACATCGGTGCTGTTGTCCAACGCTTGAATCACAGTTGCACGGTACTAGTATAGGTCCAATTCCCCGTAGACGTAATATCGAAGATGTTTTGCAAATCTTCCTGGTATTATCCCCATTTTTGTGTTTAACGAGAAGAAATAACATCACAGTCTGAGGTTTCGAGACACGCTTATAAGACTCGCAGTCTACCGAAAGCGCCTTATTGGCCTGAAAATTAAAATGGGTACTACCCCTATGTTCCGAGACAAGTGTCAGTTCAATACATATATATCTCCTTCCATTAATATCAAACCATGGAGTTTCACTAGAATACAGACAGCTGTCGCTCTTCGCATGATTCATCTAATGCGTCAATGCTCGCGCTTATAACTGGCCAGCTGTCTGACTGACTGACTGACTGCTTTGGGTTGGTCGACGTTTGTTGGTTTGAAGTTGCTAATTATTTTGAGCTTCAATGCTGACCAAAACAGAAGAGCATCGTAGATGGGGCCGTCTGTGGTGAAACACGTCAAAAACTACAGGTTTCACGAGCCCATTTTTGGCAGTATGACTTCAATGGGGTGATTGTGGAAGCAGAAGCACTCAGGTAGAAAGAAGCCAGGTTATGTTGAAAAACGTGGAAGCACTGTGCAGCTGTTTCATCCTAATTGGGGCGAGATAGCCCAAGAGCGCGAATTTACTGACCGGAAGTTCCGTGGTTCGAACCCAACCTCTGCCTCTCGACTTCCCCTGTCTAGGGTTGGGCAACCTGGCAGTATCCCAGCCCTCATGCTTCCTTCGGGTGGCGTGGCAGCTAGGCACCGGAGCTGAGCATTTTTCATCCTTATTGGGGATCATCAGCAGTACACGTCTCACGAAACTCCAGGGAATTCTGACTCCATGTTCTCCTGGCTAGTAGTTTGAAAACAGCTGTTTGGTCAGTGTGAAATAATTGTGCAGTGTATCTCAACTTTTCAGCGCTGATTGTCTTCACTCGTGGAACGATATTTCCTTCAGAAATTCTCGAATTTCCTCACATTACCAACAATTTGTTAAGTAGTCCAGAAAGAAGAATAATTCTCACAGTTATTGAGCTCTCCACCAATTAATTCCTACCGCTAACTTGTGATCAGGACGACGTATAAAATGGAGTTCATTATTCGTCTGAATGAATCATTCCAACTCAGGTTGCTATTTAAATTACTTGCTAACACAGCCGGATGCATTTTGTCCGTCCCATGCTGTGTTCGTATCGGGAAGTTCAACGGATGGGTCATCCAAAAAATGGTTCTAATCTCTCTTTCAAGGACATATGAACTTCCGATTAAGCAGAAAAAGTAAACTCTCATTGTTTACAAGTATCACTTGTGTCTGAGACTCTTGATGGTTCCTGTCGCCAACATGCTATCAGGGAAATACACTAATTTGTAAAAAAATTTGGTTTTGCGATAGACTCACCTAGAACCGAGCTGAATCCCTCTCTTGTGATATTACCAGGCAACTGGATATGCTGCACCAGGCCGCCTCATGTTTCAGTCGCTACGATATTCGAGACATCGCGAAACGTATGTATTCGTAATGCATTACTTATAAGGTTGCTGAAAAGTTACCGACGGCCCACGTCCGGTTTCGCCCTTCTTGGAGCTCGTCAGGTAGGCTCATTCATCGAGTTTACGTCAAACGTATGTTCTACTTGAACCCAAATTGCACGAAATTAGCTAAATACACTCGTTTGCAAACAAATTTGGTTTTACGAGAGACTCACCTGGAACTCAGCTGAATATCTTGTTTGTGATGTTTCCAGGCAACTGAATGTGCCGCCATCGGTCTGGGAAATCACTTAAGTTATCAAGAGCTTGTTCAAACGTAACGCGCAATATTCTAGTTTTTCAGTCAACAATTCAGTTTTCTGAAACGCAAGCTCCTGGTTTGAGTATATTTATCATGTGGATACCTGCTTGTTTTTTACGATAACAAATATTCCCTCCTAGAAACCAGAAAATATACCAAAAAGCACATGTCCGAACGGTGTCCGTCGTTTCCAAGGGAAAGCGCGAAATACCCTAGCTTGACATAAACCAGTAGGATAATATAAGCAAAAAGTGAATACGGTGCGCTAACCAGTGGTGAAAAGTGATAATATCCAGTGGGTGCCGAACAGTCATTCTGTTTTGTTACCGAGATTCACGAAATCAAGCGAGTTTTTCACCGTTCTAGACAAGTACAAGTGCCCTTACCACATGCAACAATGTTGCATCTTTTGCCGACACGCCATCGTTCGACTTTTGCCACATTATGGCCTTGAGGCATCTCTTTCTCGGTGTGTGCAATCCACTTTGTATGTGCATATGTGAACAGATTGGTGGGCTGTTGTGCACATTATTGAATCATACTGGACCACCAAGTCCTCGTTTATTTTCTGCTTTTAAACACTTTCGTCGGACCAATGAGGTTAAATCTACCGATGTTCTATCTGATGATCGGTGCATCTGACAAATGTGATGGTACTGTCCCCCTTCAAGGTAGAAGAACATTAGCTTACACACTTACTGTTACGAGGGAAACAACATGGTCTACTTTAAAACATAGTTTAACATATAAAATGAACTGGCCGTTGGCCCGTTCGCCTACATTTAAGGAGACTGTTAGAACTACGAGTATTCTGACACTGCCATCTTCACTGGTACCGAAAAGTCGGTCGCCTGTCGGCAAATAATACATTAAACTCTCGAAGTAACCTCAGCAATATCAGTCCATATTTTTCCTATTCATTTTATTGGATGAACCGACCTAAACTCACATGAAAATGCACTGAATGATCTCGAGTGGTGAGAAATGGTTTATTGCCAAACTCCACAGATCAGCCGACTCATCAGTGCTTTCCAGTGCGCGTGTCCAAAATATGTTGCCACAGAGAGGTATGTGCTTAGTACAGAAGCAACGCCACATCGTTCCACTGTCCTTTGATGAGACCACACCATTCCATTCACGAGTTCTTTGACCATGTGATAGTAGGTTGAGTGGCAGTTGCATTACTTCGGCGCTCCAGAACCGCTATAGGGTATCGCTTACTCATCAGCACTGTCGTTTATGTATCCCTCACATGATAGGGCGTTTGCCGTTCGACAACGATCGTCGAAGAATGTAACTCGGTTCCTCAGAGTAATGGAGGAATCTTTGCAAACTAGACTTATGGCTTCATGCCACATCATGCAACGAATCACTCAAAAAGTATACAAAAATACAGTGCAAGAAGTCGTATCGAAAAAGCCATGGGTACAGAATAGTCTTGCTGGCAGTGAATGTTTGATATGATGTCTAACTGCGGTGTGGGCTCGCCGGATTTTGGCTGGCAATATGACAGGGTTGTGGTTGTTCTATTTGGTACGAACTACATGTGTAGCGGTGATACTACTGATGGGGAGGCACGCGAGTAGTATGTGTTGTTCGTGGAATTTCGCTTTGCGTCT